TCAGCAGGAGCTGGCCCACTGTGAGTGCAATAGCTGCGTCTCTCTGCCTGACGGCTTCTACTGAAGCCAAAGAGGGGCCTCAGCTGGCTGGAGCTACCCGGGGGATGAACTTCCCAGGAGTCCCCTTCGGTGACCGACAGGAGTGAGTGTATGAATCCGCCGCTCCCTCACCCTTCTCGTGGGACGACTCGGACTTCTACACGGGTTCCTGCATTCCCCAGTGGGATTAAGCTCCAGTTGCCCACAGTGTAACCGACTTGATTAGCACACCCCTTTTCCCCTGCCTTCCCTTCCCTGCGTCTGCTGCCCACTCCCAGTCCAGGTTTCTTCCACACCGACTCCCAGCACCCACAGCCCCATTGCGGGGTCTGCTCCTGGGGGAGCCCATGCTCAGGCTGTGGCAGAGCCTGGCACTGAGGGTCCGGCCTCAGGCACAGACCTGTGAGCAGCTGCCGCCTGTCGCGCTCCCACTGGGCCAGGCGCTGCTCGGCCTCGTCCGCCTGCCGCTGCTGTGCCCCCTGCTCCTGCTGCAGGGCCTGCTCCAGCTCGCCCACCTTCTTCCTCAGTCTGTCCTTCTGCCCCTTAGCCTCCTCCAGCTGGGCCCTGAGGGGCCCTACAAGCTGAGTGAGGGCCCCCATGTGCTTGCTGAGGCGTGCCAGGTCTTTGCTCTGCTCGGCCGCCCAGTGGCCCACGGTGGTGGCTGGCAGCGACCTGAGCCCCATGCTGTCCTGCACCAGATGCTGGAACTGGCCTAAGGACGAGGGCAAGTTCTGGCTCTGACACAGGCTGATGACCATCTTGCCCACCTCCTGCAGGCTGCCCTGGACGCTGGTGCATGCATCACAGGGCACCAGGGCTGTCTCCACGGTCTGGGAATGGACACTCCTGGTGTTTTCGGCCGTCCTGCCTGGACACTGCAGGGAGACGCTGACAGGGAGTCTGTCCAGCTCTTGGCAGGTCTGGGGCAAGCCTGGCATTGGTGAGGTGGGCTTGATGAGCTTGGCAGTCACAAATTCAGGGCTCCTGGCTGGCTCGCCCTTGGCTGTGGGCTTGGAGGTGGGGGTCTCCCCTTGGGTTGCCCTTTTCTGTAGTCAGGAAGAGAAAGGGAAAGCAGGTGAGGGAGATGGGCCTGGGAGGTGACCAGCTCTCTGGGGATTTCTGTGACAGCAGCCACTCCTGATGCTGACCTTCAGATGATATTTGATACCAAGGTGAGTGAGAGAGCGAGCCTTCTCCTTTCTGCTGCCTCAGCTTACCAAGCCCAGCCTCCATGCTGTTACATGCAAGGCACTGGGAGGGAAATACAGTGACAGACACAGCTGCCGGGTACTGGGCCCTTACTTAGTGGACTTGTCTGCTCCTGTGTTGCTGAAGCCACTCTCAGTTTGTTTCCTTCCCATTATGGTGACAGTGGTCCTGCACACCAGGTGGTTGTGAGGGTTACGGAATAACCCATAACAAAGGGGGTTGATACAAACACCATTCCCCAACAATGCCCTGGGAGGTAGGGACTGTTATCACCCGCACTGCACAGATGAACAAACTGAGGTTCAGACTAGGTAGGATTTTTCCAAAGCCCCAGTGTAAACTGCAGAACCAGGTGGCCCACACATGACCCCCAAGGCCTGCACTGCGAACTGCCAGGCTGCATAGGCCTTGAGTGGGGGCTCCAGAGTGGAGCCAGAGACAGATGCGGTGCACACGTGGTGTGCAAGGAGCCTGGGGCAGGTGGACTGATGTGACGGTGACTGCAGTTGGGGAAGCGGGTGGCCGACCCACCTGGGGGGCCACCTGCCGAATGAGCATGACCAGCCTCAGTAGGCTGTTCCAGAAGCGCCGCACCGTGAGCCCCACGGACATGCAGGGCCTGGCTGCCCTGGAGGGGGGCACCGTCTGCTCTACGCCGAGGTTCTCCAAGTAGCTCGCACAGCTCTGAAGCAGCAGCAGGAGCCTGTGGGCAGAGACAGCAGGGTTGGCTGGGGCAGAGCCCAGCACCAGTGTGCCCTCACACCACACAACCAGCAGCCTCCTGCTCGGGAAACGGCCCGGGCGTCAGGGACTCGGAGCGTCTCAGAATACACTCTGCCTGACCCAAGAGCCACTTCTTCCAGGAAGCCCTCCCTGAAGGCTAAGCTTGGGACCCCTTCGGGGCCTCCTGGGTGGCAGCACTTCTGCCTGGCTGCTCCCCACTGGACTGGGAGGCTCTAGGAGGCCGGGCCTTGCCTCGGTTGTGTCCAGAGTCCTCAGAAAGTGCTGGGTAAGTGGCTGCCTTCCACCATGTGGCTCAGAGCCTTCACCTTGCAGAGGACCCAGCTGAGACCCCCAAAGCGGAGGAGGCTGCACACGGCCTCAGGGTGAGTGTGCAGGGCAGTGTGCCCTGCGGTTTCCTGATTCTAGTTGGGCGTGGGGGTTCTCCTGTGGGATGAGCTGCTTCTGCCACAACGGAGACTGAAGTGAGAGAGCCAGGTCCCTATCCTACCCGGAGTCAGGGGCTAATTGTAAGGAAAAGGGGTGTTGGGAAGAGAAGTAGGTATTTGCATGGGAATCAGACTGTTTTAAAAGAAGAGGTACTGTGTTTACAAAACATATGGGCAGATAAGTGACCTCAACTTGTTGCAGATGCAGGAGGGTCATCCCAAACCAACTGTGCCCTTGGGCAGAGAGGGCCTGGGGGAGGGTTGCTGACCGCTCCAGGCCATACTCCTCTCTGGGCCAAGGTGTTCTCCTCTGTGAATGGGGACAATGAATGAGCAGCACTGGAGGGTGGAGAGTGGCCTGGACAGATGGGCCAGGCGAGGGGTGGGAAGGCGGGTCAGCTGCAGCTTTCTAGAAGGCAGATGGGTGAACTGGGCCCTGACGGGCTCGGCCAGTACAGGGACGAGTAGGCGGGGCACTCCTAGCAGAGGGCACAGCAAGGAAGGAAGGTGTGTTCTGGGCTCACACATGTTCAGCCCCCTACAGGGTCCAGGTAGTGCTTTCACACCGTTGGCTCCTCCAGGCCTCTGAGTGGTTACCCTGGCTTCTAATTGTCTCCAGGCAGGTCATCCCCAAACTGCTGGGGTCCCTGCCTGTCTGGCCCCCGTGACTTCATTAGCATGCAGGGTTTGGAGCACATGGAGCCTGGGCTGTGGTCCCCGGGGAGTGGAGGCTGACGACCATGCTAATGTGAATGACAGTGTAGAAGTGGTGGGGCTGCAGGGGAATCCACTGGCCTCCTTCCCAGCAGGGCCAGGGTTTGGAAAAGCACATCCCGTGTCTGGCCCTGCGACACATAGAAGGGACAGGAAAAACAGCCTGGGATGGAAAGTCTGAGCAGCAGCTGTAGTGTCCTCGACACACACAAACCCTAAGGAAGCAGCTGGCAGTGGCTGGAGAAGTAGCCGTCAGAGCTGTGGTGTCACAGAGACCAACAGGGTGGCCAGCAACTCCCTGAAGGTGGACTATAAGACACACGGCACAGGGGCTTCCCTGGTGGCGCAGTGGTTGAGTCCGCCTGCCAATGCAGGGAACGCGGGTTCGTGCCCCAGTCCGGGAAGATCCCACA